AGTCGTTAGACCATTGACCTCGCATCCCTACAAAGCCGGGACGGAGCACGCCCGGGGGAGGGGGGGGGCTGAAAGCACGCGAAGAGGCTCTCAGGCGGAGACGGGTCTTGAAGTTCCGGATGTGATGTGAAGGTGAAGGGCGGGGGTGGGGAGGCGGGGGGGATGGTACGGTCCGGAGGGGAGGGACTGGATGGCAAAGGAGGGAAGGAGTTGGCCAGGCGAAGGGCAGCTGACGGTGCGCTGGTGTTTCGGGGTGGAGGCAGGTAGACGTTGGAATGCCGTGGGAGGAAGACGGATGGGAAATAAGCGGGAGAGGCAAAGTACGTGCAGGATGCGTGTTGCATCGAGGAGGTACTGGAAAATATCAGAGGGGGGAGGGGGGAGTGGAGCTAGATATTGTTCAGGTTGTCATTGGCGTATCTGCCGGTGTGCTTTATTTGTGTGCCACTTGTGCCGTTGTTGTGATGGATTGATTTCGTCGGATCGATTAATGCACACCGTCCCGCTGTTGACCGGCAAATAAGTTTTAAGTCGGGCGTGGGTGTGTCCGTGCGGGTGTCGTTGTTTGTGCCCCGTGTGTGCGAGTTGTTGCCGTCGAAATTCCTAAGTAACAATTGCAGGATACATACCCCGATCGAACCCCCCCCCCCCCNCCCCGGAACTGTGGAAGGATAATCCCATGATACTGCGTGCTGTTTGTAATATGCACGCGTTCTCACGATTTTTAATTCCAGCGAGCATTTCATGCATATGAGCCCACCGCCCCCCTATGCCGTGTTTTGTTGTGCGGTTTGTAGCCTTGATACCTGGTTGTGTAATTTTGTGTGATTCCCACGTTTTTGTTGCGGATGGATGTGGAAGGGGGACGGCGGATAGGTGGTTTTTAATATCACACCTACAAACGGGTACCCCCCCCCCCTTGGAAGGTGAAGAAGGGTGTACACGTCGGTGGCGGTAGAGGACGGTGCAGTAGTAGCGCGGTTGCCCAAGCCTGCTCCCTCCTCCTATCGCGGTCTATTTATAATTATGTCTTGGCTTCTCGGGCGGTACAGCAGTAGCCGCCGCCCTTCGGTATCAACAGTATGAAATAGCATGCGACTTATGCAAATTTGTGTTGTCTTATGTGTCACGTGTGTGTTGATTTTTTTTTTTCATTGTTTCCCTCGAGAGTACGATGCATGTGCGTGGATGTGCGAGTGGTAAAGCCAATGGCGCCGCTGCGGAGGGCGAAGCCAGGCTTCTCCTTCTCCGGTTGGTTGCCATTAGCACCACGGGGTGGTGAATACGAGAAGATCCAGCCGTCGCACGTCGCCGGTGTTTCGTCGCTATTCATGCCGAGCAGCAGCAAGAACTCTTAGGTTTATGGGGGGTTGGTGGCCCTACGCCACCGCCGAAGGCCCGTTCGCTCATGGGTACGTTTTTCAGCCCATGACAAACAACATCTCACGCTCTCCCTGGCACGTCAGAGTAAAGTTGTGGTGTTGACGCTTACTCTTGGTGTGTGGTTGGTTGCATCCCCCCCCCCCCCCCCCCCCCCCCCCCCCCCCCCCCCCCCCCCCCCCCCCCCCCCCCCCCCCCCCCCCCCCCCCCCCCCCCCCCCCCCCCC